TTACTTTGTTTTGCTCTTTTTTGTGTGTGTTTTAACCCTCTCTTTCTGCATAGAATTTCTCCTCCCATTCTCCTTATTCTCTCTCTCTCTTCTCTCCCTTTGCCTCTCCGTCTGTCTGTCTGTCTGTCGGTCTGTTTGTCTCTCACTCAGTCAGTCTCTCTCTCTCCCTCTCTCTCTCTCTTTCTCCCTTTTATCTTCTCCCTCTCCTTCCCTCCCTCCCTCTCCCTCTCTCCCTCTCCCTCTCCCTCTCTCTCTCCCTCTCTTTTTCTTTCTCTCTCTTTTCTTCCCCCTATGTCTGTCTGTATTTGTTTCTCTCTCTCCCTCTCCCTCTCCCGCTCTCTCTCTCCCTTCCTCTCTCACTCTAAAAGACACACATACACATGGACAACACCGAGACGCGCGCACCTTTTTACACCCGCAATTTCGAATAAGAATGGTCCTCTTTCTCCCTAATAATAGTCATTACTATGATAATCTTTCACCTGACACAAGACGCGACGCCGCGGGTGATGGCTGCAAGCAAACACACCGAGAGAGAAAAAAAAGAGAGAAAAAAAAGCAGAAGAGGAGAGAAGAAGAGAAGGAGAAGAAGAAGAAGAAGAAGAGAGAAAAAAAAATGAGTTGGACCATAAACCGCCTGGTGCCGGGGGGGAAGTGGGTTCCTCCGGGCCATGGGTAGGGGTAGGGGTAGGGGTGGGTAAAGTGGTAGGGGGAAGGGAAGAGGGGTAGGGAGAAGGTGGAGGGGTAGGGAGGGAGGGAGGAGGGGGAAAGGGGAAGGGAGATAAGAATCAGAAGAAAAGGGGAGATGGTTAAGGGAGGAAAGGGGGAAGAAATGGGAGAGAGGGAGAATATGGGGAAGAGACGGGAGAGAGGAAGAACAGAGGAGGAAAGAGGAAGACGGGAGAAAGAGGGAGAAGAGGGGAGGAGATGTCAGGCAAGGCGAAGGGGAGAGGAGTTGGGACTCACGGCCGGGGGGGAGGGGGGTAGGCGGGGGAGGCGGGACCGGAGGACGGGGTGGAAAGTGTGTCTCCTCCTGGTTAACTGCTTGTTTACAAATGGTCAATGAGAGACGGCGGCGGCTTAATGGCTAGGAAGAATGGTGCAGACCGAGAAAAAAAGAAAAAAAGGCGAGAGAGCGAGAGAGGTGAATGTCTTCGCACTGATACCCTTTTTTCAAGACTATCATTTCGGACGTCCAAAAACGGTCGTCGCTTTTAACAGGTGAAATTCAATAGCCTGTGCACGAGCGCGCGCGCAAGCACACGCACACACACACACACACACACACACACACACACACACACACACACACACACACACACACACACATACACACACACACACACACACACTCACTCACTCACTCACTCACTCACTCACTCACTCACACACACACACACACACACACACACACACACACACACACACACACACACACACACAGATGTAGATGTGCATATATACATATTAGATATATACATATGTGTTTATGTGTGTATGTATACATACATACATATATATATATATATATATATATATATATATATATATATATATATATATATATGTATGATTATATATATGTATGATTATATATATATATGATTTTATATATATATATATATATATATATATATATATATATATATATATATATATATATATATATATATATATGATATCATACATATATATACATATACATATTTATTTATTTATTGTGTTCATATTCTTATGATTTACTATTCAGTATAATGATTTAGAGTGCATACATAATATTATTATCCGTTTGCATTGCTGGCATTCTGGCGATAATTGATGCAGAAGGATATATGCAAGTTTATAAAAGAGGCTGAAGTAAGATTGAGCGAAATATTAAGCAACATTAATATGATAATGATAATAATAATAATAATAGCAACAACAACAACAACAACAATAATAATAATAATAATAACAATAACAATAATAATGATGATGATGATGACAATGACGATAATAATAAGTTTAGCAACAACAACAATAATGAAAATAGTAATAATATTAATAACAGTAATAGTAACATCAACAATAATAATGATAATATATTATTATTACCATTAATAATAAAACAAACCATAAAAGTTTAACGCATCGATGCCTGTGTCGAACCAGAAGGCAAGTGACACCTGATAAAGACATTTATTAAGTTATCAAGAAAACCAGGTTGTCGGACCTCGTGACCTCGCCTGTACAGCCAGCGCCTAATTAAAAACACATGACTCCGGATAATGGGGCCGAACCCTACAACTTCCTTCAGAGCATAAGATCTTCACCTTTTCTCCCTCTCTTTCTTCTTCTTTCTTCATTCCAAAAGCGTCTCTAAAGTCTTTTATTTTAGTCCTGTTATCATACGAATCATGCGATATAAACAGACGATTCCTCCCCCCCCCTCCAGCGTCCCCAGAGCCTCGGGGGGGGAGACATCGACAGCCCGAGATCGCCGTCCCAGGGCGAGTGACGCAATCTCGGCCCGATCTGTTGTCCCGAGTCTCAAGGTCGAGTTACGTCGGTTCTACACGGTTCCTGGGCGCGCTGCTCGTTGTCGTCCGGGTACAGAGCGGGTACAAGGCGGGTACAAGGTGCAGAGGAAGCCCTTGGTTTGGTTACCTGGCTCCGGGAACATGACCGAGTTCTTGGAAAACGTGTGATTCTTCGTCCGGCTGTGGCTAAGGACGCGCCAACTCTGCTGTGGTTCTCGATCTTATGGGCATGGAATAATGAGCTTCTTTTTTTAGCCTTACTTATCAATTCATCTGTTTATTTCCTTATTTGCTTATTCATATATTTATCTATCCATTCATATAACAATTAATGTATCTATCTATCTCTGTCCATCCCTCTATCCTTCTATCTAACTATTTATCTATTTATTTGTCTGGTTATTTACTTACTCACTTACTCTTTTATTGCGTTTCGTATACGCATACAGTCTCTTGTAATTAAATTACCTCGTGTTCTTTCACATGACTGGCATCTTCTTCTCTCCCGCTTTTCGGTTACCTCGCAGCTTCCAGTGGAACGCCCTCGTAAACGCTCTCCCTTTCGTCGTATGCAAATCTCGTCACTCATCATAACAATCAACACATTTAATCAGCTGTTGATATTACAGCCGCCATAATCCCCTGCATGATACGAGCCGGCGAGTGCATCTTAACGTGTGATATCAGCGGATAACAAAACTGAAGTTTATCCTCCACTAATCGTACAATTACATTTTTCTTTCCCTTCCTCCATCTCCGCGTTTAACATACCTGCGTGATTATCATATAAATTGCATTACGGACTTCGCTCAATGTATCAAAAGCATCATCAGACGAAAATCCAAAGTCATTGTTACTAATTCGCGTCCGGGCCGACCACCACCTCCGGAGAGCATCCTCCTCCTCGCCTCCTCCTCCTCCTTCTCCTCCACCTCCGCCACCGCCTCCGTCTGCGCTTCCGCCACGAGTAAAGTACTGATACCCCCCTGAATGAAGCCTTGCCTTCTGAAACCCCGCCGCTTGAAACCCTTCTGGTTCGTGTTCCTCCTTCCTCCTCTTCTTCCTTCTTCCGTCTCCTCCTCCGCCTCCGTCTGCATTGCCGCCACGAGTAAAGCACCGGCGCTGCCTGAATGAAGCCTCGCTTTCTGAAACCCAGCTGAATGCCACCTTACTCGTGTTACTAACCCCTCGCTCTTTCCTTCTTCCTCCTCCCCTCCCTCCTCCTTCTCCTTCTCCTCCTCCTCCTCCTCCTCCTCCTCCTCCTCCTCCTCCTCCTCCTCCCCCTCCGCTTCCATCTGCGCCGTCGCCACGAGTAAAGCACCGAGCCACCTGAATGAAACCTATCTGAAAAAAGCCCGTCGCCCGAAACCCAACTGAATACCACCTAGTTCGTGCTCATCTTCCCTTCCCCACCCCCTTCCTTCTCCTCCTTCCTCCTGGCCCTTCCATTCCCCTTTCCTACTCCCCCTCCCCTACCCCCCACCACCCCCCTTCCTCCTCTCCTGCCGTGCGTGCACCTCCTCTCCCCGGGTGTACGTGGAAAGCACATCACACGGTGTTCATCATTTCTAATCACTTCCGAACACCTGTAGTACACGGGCCAATCAGGCTGAGACACAGGGGGAGCACCCAGAGGAATCTCAGCCACGCGATTTCTTTAGGTGTGCACATGGGGGGGGGGGGGGGGGGGGGGGTAGTGTGCGCGGGAGGGCGAGGGTGACGGTTAGAGTGTGGGTGTGGGTGAGGGTGTGGGTGAGGGTGAGGGTGAGGATGAGGATGAGGGTGAGGATAAGAGTGAGAGTAAGAGTGAAGGTGAGGATATAAGTGAGAGTGAGAGTGAGAGTGAGGGTGAGGATATGAGTGAGTGAGAGTGAAAATGAGAGTGAGGGTTAGGATATGAGTGAGGGTGAGGATATGAGTGAGAGTGAGGGTGAGGGTGAGGATATGAGTAAGAATGAGAGCGAGGGTGAGGATGTGAGTGAGAGTAACAATAAGAGTAAGAAGAGTCAAAGGGAGAAAGAGGAAGGAAATAAAGGCAAGGGAGAAAGAAGAGGGAGAGAACACATAAGGGAAGAGAGAAAGGAGAGAAAGCAAAGAGAGAGTGGAAGAAGGAAATATCCACAAAGAAGAAGAAAGAGAGAGAGAAAGAAGAAGACAAGAAGGAAAGCAAAAGGAATCGCAGGGAGAAAAAAGAGAATGAGGGAGGGAGAGAAGCCCAAGAGGAGGGTAAGGGAGGGTAAGGGAGGAGGGCAGAGGGAGGGCATGGGCCATCGTCTAGCGTTACCCACCACATGCTAATTCCCTCATCTGAATCGCCGTGATTATTCAGATTTGGCCGAGTGTGTATCGCCCCACGAGCATCCGAGCCGAGAGAGCCCGGCTTCGATCTCCACAAATCACGATTAGATTATCCCGAGTCAAGGGTTTTAAAGAACAAGAAGCAAGAACGTTTATGTAGGACATAAAGTGAGAGAGAGAGTGAGAGAGAGAGAGAGAGAGAGAGAGAGAGAGAGAGAGAGAGAGAGAGAGAGAGAGAGAGAGAGAGAGAGAGAGAGAGAGAGAGAGAGAGAGAGAGAGAGGGAGGGAGAGAGAGAGAGGGAGGGAGGGAGGGAGGGAGAGGAAGGGAGAGAGGGAGGGAGGGAGGGAGAGAGAGGGAGAGAGAGAGAGAGAGAGAGAGAGAGAGAGAGAGAGAGAGAGAGAGAGAGAGAGAGAGAGAGAGAGAGAGAGAGAGAGAGAGACAGACAGACAGACAGAGAGAGATTCAGAATCACCACTTGAATAAGAATCTCTTCAATGATGTAAAAAAAAAAAAAATCAAAAGAAGGTATCAGATCTCGGGAACTTATGCTTCTATTGCAACCCAATGAGCATCTCGCAAAACATCGACTAAATATCGCCATCACTGTGTGTTGCAGGAGCATAGATTATTGCAACAATAACTTATTGCTTAAAACTACGCAGTTGCACTTGGATGCGTCGTCGTTTTCTTTTCCTTCCTCTCTTGTTCTTGTTCTTGTTCATGTTCTTCCTCAACTTCTTATTATTGTTCTCTCTTGTGTGTGTGTGTCTGCCTGTGTCTTTGTATCTTTGAGTGAGTGTGTGTGTGTGTGTGTGTGTGTGTGTGTGTGTGTGTGTGTGTGTGTGTGTGTGTGTGTGTGTGTGTGTATGTGTGTGTGTGTGTGTGTGTGTGTGTGTGTGTGTGTGTGTGTGTGTGTGTGTGTGTGTGTGTGTGTGTGTGTGTGTGTGTGTGTGTGTGTGTGTCTCCTGAATAGAGTAGTAGAAAATGTGACCACAATAAAACAACCCACGTGAGATCTCACTTGCATAAAAGAACACAAAACAAAACAAAACAAAAGACAATAAAATACATGCAAAAATAAGATTAACAAGAAGGGAAACGCGAAGGAAAAAAGAAAACGAGAGGGTAAAAAAAGCAAAAGAGAAAAACGGAATCATAAAACAAGGGGGGGGGGGAAGAATCGAGATAAGAAAAGAGGCAGCGAAAAAAGGGGGGGGGAAAGAAAAGAGAAAAGCCATAATAAACTCGAAGAAGGCGGCGGCGGGGCGGCCAAGGTAAAGCCCTCTCTTCTTTACCTTCGCTGGTAATAATGTGTGTCGGTCCAAGACAATGGTAATCAGCGTCACTCCCTTGGAAACCAGAACCGCGTGCGTCGCCTACGGGAGACTCGTCCTTAAGCAGCCACAGCAAATAAGCGTCGGGCCGATGTGTGGTATTTCCCGTAAACTAACCGTCCTACACCCGCTCTTGGGGGTTCGTTCACATCCTCTACGGGCCGAAGACGCGCTGAGGCCTTTGTTCACATCCACCATAGACAAGCGAGGGAGGCGTTGGACGGCCTCGCGAGCCACCTGTGCTTTGCCATCTGCGAGGAGGTGGCGAGGCCTAAGGGGTGTGCCTTGCCGACGCCGCTGACACTTCGCGCTCTCTAAAGATGGCATAAGCGGATAATTGGCGTCTACGGCCGACTGACATCGTTCGAATAATGAGCAGATTACCATCGCCGTTGCGCAGCTGCCGGGCTTTTCTGCGCCGCGTCTCCTCATAGCTGGAAATGCGGGCGAATCAGGAGTAATTAGGCTACCGTGAATTTTTTATTCAACTTTTCGTTTTTTTTTACGTTTTTATTCTTCATTTTTTCATAAAATTTCATAAAGTTTCATATCTTCCAGGAATCACGGGCAGGTTTTCAGATGAATGAACCAACGGATCCGCCAACCTTTTGCAAGCGTAGGATGAGATTTTCTAGACCAGTTTGGGCTCAAAATGGAAAGATTATGATCTGGTCAAAGAGGCGAAATGGAGAGACGGTGTTTCGCGAAACGAGACTTTACGCTTAAATCTACATTACGAACAAAGCCTAATTATTCTTCTCCTACAAAATTGAAATTAAAAATAAGGATCAAGAATGTTTTCAATATCCATCTATCTATCTATTCATCTGCCCGACCCCCACAGATCACCCCGACCTTGCAAGCGATTCCCTGCAGCAAGATCACAACCATCGTCTCGCATGAACCTCACCTCAACACCAACAACGACCTGAGCAAAACGGACGACCGCAGGCAACCTCTTCTTCTATGAACCTCCCGCCATCGTCCCCCCCGAAAAAAAGGGAAGAAATTTTTCACTCGAACTCCAAACAATCGTCCCCGCTGTGTCCATCTCGCCCGCAAAGAGCTGAGCAATGTGACTCAGTAATATCGAGTTGATGATCGTGACTCCAGGCTACCGTACTTACTTGTACAATATATCTCGCGCAGCTCTGTCATTGGGCGCCAAATAAGGCAAGGCGGCCGCTCCAGGCACCGGCCGGCCCAAGCCTGGCACGGGGCGCTTGCTACCTCTTGCCCACGCACCCGCCGCAAGCACGCAGGCAGGCAAGCAGACAGACACACTCGACTCAGCTCCTCCTCTCCGTTCAGGATACGCCTGGGATGTCATTTGAAGGAGTGATGT